GCCTCTCCCCTGCAAGTGCTGGGACCACGGCTCCCCCATGATCTTCTTCTCTACTGCCAAAGCCAAGGGAGACCTAACCTCTCAGTCATTTCTGATGATACTATTTGCTTCTTAAAAAGCACTCATTTCTTCTCTCTCTCTTAATTGCGGGTATATCCAGGATGCTATCTTTTCTCTTTTTTTCTCTGGATTTGCCTTTAGGTGATCTTCATTACCATGACTTTAAATTCCACTTTCCCGATTTGTACGTTGACCCAGACTCCTGCCTCAAGCTTTTCTATTATATTTCCAACAGCAGGAGAAATCCCAGCCCTGTTTCCCTATATTCGGTCCAGAGTAAAGTCATCTTAAAACACCTTTGGTCCGTATCTCCCAAAGCAGAAATTGAGCATCCTTCCCTGCAATTCCCAGCCTCACTGAACTCCATCAGTTCTCGGAGACAGGAGACTCCCATGCTTCCATTCACATTGTCACTTCTCTCCCTTCTGCCCCTCCCCCTTCCCCACCCCTAGAGTATAACAAAGGAGAGAAAAATGGATTTGTTTACTTTAGGACCTCTTTCAATCCTCCCACTGGGGACTGGCTTCCCTTTCTGAACCCTAGTTTTACTAGGTATCCACAGTAATCCTTAAACAATTAGGGATGCACTCATGCTAAATACAGTCGATTCCTCATTTGGTATGTCTAAAGCAGTAACACATGTTCCTCCAAATGACCCACTACCCAGTTCTTTAGATGTCATAGATGACATTATTTTTTAAATTGCCCTTTTCCTAGTTATAAAATAATGTGTATTTAAGAGGTTTTTGTCAAATCAGTTAAATCATTTTAATATCTAGTAGTTGACAATAAAAACAGACATTAAAATGTACATGTATGGCTAATTTGGATTTTCCATTTAGTTTCTAAATCTTAAAGTTTTCACCCCTCTTACCTTTGTATGCTTTCTAATAAATTCAACAGAGACAGGGACCATTCTGTCAAATAAGCCTATTATAAATTCCTTCTGAATAACACTGATTGTAGCAGGTAAAAGATTTGTCCAAGACAACATCAGTGGTCTCCAGCCCAGCATGTGAGGCTCCATGTAAATCATCCCACATCTGGAAACCTGGAAAAACAGTAATTGTTTATCATCAAAGTAATGCTTATAAAAGAAATACGACTTGGCACATCTATTTCTTACAGCCTTCAGAAAACTCTGGGGGGAAGAAGAATACTTTTATAGACATAACTTCCTGATCTAAATTTTTTGTGAGTAACTTCACCAAATGGTCCTAGGCAAAGAGGGAAAAATCCCTGACTCTTACATTTGTCAAGGTATGTCAACAAAGATGTCTGTTCTTGGAGAATCACAGATTGCTGTTAAAATGAATTCTATAAATACTTTTCATCTAAAGTCAAAGTTACTAGGCAATAAACTCACAACATTTCAGATCTGTAAGCAGATGTGAAAATTGGGAACTTACAGTGGCAGGAGAAGCAACTTCTAAATCCATGGGTTCAAAAATAAGATTCATTTGTGGTGACATTTGGATAATCTCCCCACTCATCAGACATAGCTTTTTATTGTCATCCAGCACAGTATTCATATTCTCAATCCACACTGCATCCACTGGTCCATCAAAAATTAACCATTTTCTGTCAGGCGTCTGATTTATGCACATGGTGAATAAAGGGCAAAAGTGGTAAAGTAAGGAACACTGTTCAATAATATTACTTCACAGTTTTAAAATATAACTTCTATAATTAATTTTGCCATGAAAATGTAAAGGCACCTTTTGAGTAAAGAGTGTGCATGTGTGTAAATACGTATATTCACCAAAGAAGCCTATATATGCCATGGACAAGACAGAAATACATATAACATCTTAAGATTCTGTCTTTCCCAATGTTTCTGAACTCATACATATTTTAGAAACTATTATAAGAAAAAATAGAAATACCAGGGAAAACAATTTTTATTCGGGTGCCTGACTCTAGAGAGATTCCACAGAGCGTACATAAGGATTAACGACTCTTGGGTGCCAAGTCAAATATTTTGTGCCCTCCGTTGAATGAATTCACGCACATACACATCCTTCTTGGGCTGAACTGTCTCGTGGTGGTATAAGACATTAATATCAATATAACCCTCACAGTCCCACAATGATAAATGGGAAAATATTTACGTATTGTCCAGAATATAGTAAATGCTCAACAAATACTAAAGACCGGCCAGGTGTTAGCCAGAGGGAGCAAAAACTGATTCTCCTTTCCAGATCCTCATGAAGCAGCCCTTCTGTGGAGATGACACTTGGTTCACCTTCAGCAAATGTGAATTTGAGCTGAAGTAGCGAAGGGTTTGAATCCACCTCAACACATTCTCAGTCCCTGTGGCCAAATGCGTTAATAAACTACGAGACAGTAGGCCTGTCTGGGCTCAGACCACCCACACGCCCACTCAGAAGCCAGCTCTGGCCATGCTCAGGAACCTCAGAAGAGTGCATATCTCGGAGATCAGCCCCAGATCAACTTTTCCTCATGCCGCTGGCTTCCCAGGCTTGCTCATCTTCACTTTGACAAACTGCCAGGTAATGGCAAGTTGCTGGGCTTCACAGTCTGAAGGGCCTCGCTTTTAATTTGGCTCTGCTACTCCCCAGTTGGGTGACTCTGCGGCAGCTCCTTAGCCTCCCTGAGACTCAGTGTTTATGGGATGTAGCTTCCTGGAAAATACACTGTACACTGGGTAGCTAAGCATAAAATGGCAGATATCTCACGATTACTTCTCTATAAATAACATAACAGCATACATTATCCGGAGACTTCATATGTTAAGTCTCTACAGCAGAAAGAAAGGATCTGAGAAGTTACATCACTGGTCCCAGACCTCTGCCTGCCCTACTGGTGTCTACTGTTTACTTTTCTCCAGCAAAGCCTGACACTGGGCAAGATCTCTGTCCCGTGAGAGCCAACCCTGTGCTACTCATTGCTCAAGGTCCTTAGCCAATCAAAGCAGAGCTGAGATTGGATGTTTTGTATTATTAAACTGACTCATGAGTCATGAGTGGCTGGATCCTTAAGAGGGTGAAGAGCAGCAAGTCCAGGATGCAAGGTAGTCAGAATAAAGGGAACATTATATATATATATTTAAAAAAGCTTTAATAAAACAATTAAATGTCTCTAGACTGGCCCCTTTCCCTGTGAGATCAGCCTTTGCAAGCTGTCTCTTGTATGCTCACCCTCCGTGGATAGCCTGCTGACATTTGGCAACCAAGTTCACACTTACTGGTCTGGGGACTCTCTGTGAGAGTGGGCAGCAGCCGCTCAGCAGGGTAACCAGGAGCAGGTAAGGACCCGCTCACTCCCTTTCCCAGCAGCCAGCAGCTGGCACACCCTTACAACTTTTCTGCTTTCCACAGGTAGCCCGTTCTCTTCGCAACACACTAGAAGGAAAGTGTTGGAACTCATAAGATATGGTTTTGTAAAGGTCTGCAAACTCTCTAAGCTCTCCAGTCTGACAATCAGCGGTGTCAGCGACAGGCAGCCCAGCAGCCGGGCAGAGGAGCACACCACTGAAGCAGGGAAAGGATCACGTTGCTCAGATGCTCTCCCTCCTGGGTCACTGAGCCCAGAAAAGGGGACCAGAAATTCTCTCTGCAGTCCTTTTTTCTCCTGTCCTCTCTTCTGTGCACCCCGGGGCAAAGGTGCCTGCCTGTCTGGTCTCTTGCATCTTCACAGGTGCTAACAGCGCTCTTCACAGAAACACTGCCACACTATGCAGTCATAATGTGTTTTAAATAAATACCTTGAGCTAAAAAATTCATGTTTGCTTCAAACAACTGAAAAAAAATCAGAACTCTCACAGCCTTTCTAAACATGCATGCAAACGTGTTAGCACTTACGGATGAGGAAGCAAAGGCTCTGAAACTGACAGCGAGGATCCCGTCTGACCACTCGTGGGACACTAAGTCAAACTGCCCGTACAGCTGACCCATGGTGACAGACTTCGGATTTAAAACAGTGATTTGAACCTTGTTTTCTTCCATTAATCCCTTAATAGAAAAAAAATCAATTATTTATTTAAAAGACTACTGTCTCTATTTGCAGAACACCTGACTGTGTATGCAGAAAATTCCAAAGATTCTACCAGGAAACTACCCGAGGTACAGAGCTCACGTGACAAGGTTCAGGGATACAAGGTGGTTATATAAAAACTGACTGTATTTTCTACATGATGCCAATGAACAACTGCAAAACAAAATTTTAAAAAATACCATTTACAATAGGATTTAAAAACTCATAGAATTCTTAGGAATAGATTAGCAAATATTGCATGAGATCCATAAATCTAAAACTATAAAATGGGAGTTAGTAAAATTTTTTGCAATGGGGCAGGCAGTAAATGTTATATGGCTTACAGGTTACATTTTCTTCTCTGTTTTTCTTTCTTTACAAACCTTAAAAAGGTTAACACCACTCTAAGCTCACTGGCATTACAAAAATAGGTTTGGGCTGAATTTGGCCCATGCTGTAATTGGTTGACTCTTGCACAAAACATTCTGTGAGAGAAAATTAAATGATATAAATATAGGGGAATATGTACCATTCGCATGGTATGGAAAAGTTGATACTGGTAAGTTGACAATTCCCACCAGAATCATGAAAGCCAGTATATGGGATTAACAAGAGATGTTAATAACCTTGGAGGAATAGCCTTTTTATGTTTTTAATTAATAGACTTCATTTTTTTAGAGTAGCTTTAGATTTATAGAAAAACTGAGCAAAAAGTACAGGGATCCACATATATTCGCTTTCCCTCAACCCTCCCCACAGCTTCCCCTACTATTATTTTTTATTGATGCGTAGTTGATTTACAATATTGTGTTGGTTTCAGGTGTAAAGCAAAGTGATCCAGATATAGATATATATGTATTTATATTCTTTTTTCCCAATTATTTTCCATTGTAGTTTATTATAAGATACTGAATATAGTTCCTTGTGCTATACAGTAAATTCTTAAAAATATGGAATGCCCCATGAATCTGCACGTCATCCTTGCATGGGGACCATGCTAATTTCTGTATCATTCCAATTTTCAGATACGTGCTGCCAAAACAAGCACCAGTTCCCCCTATTATTAAAGCCTTGGTACATTGTCATGACTGATGAACTGAAATGGACACATTATTAACTAAAGCCTAGAGCTTTACTCTTTGTGTTGGACAGGTCTGTGGATTTTGCCAAATACATAATGTCACATATCCACTGATACAATATCACACAGAATAGTGTCACTGCCCTCAAAAGCCCCTGTGCTCTGTTTATTTACGATCATTTCCTTTTTATATACAACAACATAACAAGTTCTACTCTTTCCCACACTAATTTTTGTCCACCACCACTGGAGCTTGGGACACGAAGTACCAAACTGAAGAGAAGACAAGATTAAGCAGTAAAATAAGCTTTCTTCTCTGTGACCAGGAAGGGAATGACAATGTGTCATCCTTAATTCAGAAGTACGGGAAAGCTCTATCATCTTAGTCAGAATAAAGTTCGCTTCCATCAAAGTAAGGTTTCTGACCCAGTGTGGCGAGGCTAGTGTGAAGCTATAGCTTGCAGACAGAGGTGGAGCCCTGCCTACTTTATGTCACCACAGTGTCACTCTTAAAATTTCCTGGTAATGAATCATTTGAGGGCTTTATATTGGACCAGAATACATGCTCATATCTTCACCTTCTTAAATCTTTGAGTGGTACCATGTTTGGCCCTTTTAGAGACTTGTTTATTTTGTACAGCAAAAAAAAATAGTCCATTTAACAATAAAATAGGAAAAACACAAAAACTGAAAAAAGAAAGGCAGGAATAGTGGGAAGGCAGGGAGGATAAAGGTAAGGGAAGGGAGGGGAAAAATGAAAACAACAAGGAGGGCTAAAAGCATAAAGGAAGAGAGGACAGAAATAAGTAGTTTATCAGTTTGTATAGTAATAAATAGAAACAAATTTAAATTCTCCTATGAGAAGATAAAAACCATCAAACTGGAAAAAAAAATCAAACTATTTACTCTCTATAAGAAAGTAAATCATGGTGACAGCCAGGGTCACAATTAAAGACATGGGCAAATATATATGCAAGGAGAAAGTAGGGGTTGTAATACTAAAATTAGACACAAGGGACTCCAGAAACATTAACAGAACAAGTAGATAATTTTATATTGGCTGAAGGGGAGACTCCACAATGAAGATACAATGATCACAAATCCCATTTTGGCAATATACGGAGCAAAAATTATTTAAAATGCAAGGAGAAGTACACCGAAATGTAGTGTTAATTGGAGAATTTAAAACAGCCTCACTCTTTTAGCATATCAAAGTAGCCCAAACTGGGATGCAATGGACAGGAATTTTTAATAAGATAATCATCATTATTATACATATGTACACATGGATGTGTTACATCTTCCATGTGCACATGCATACACAGACACACACTTCAGTTCAATACAAGTTGTAGCCAGTAATGGAAGTTTGCATTACAAATCTGACCACCCAGAAATAAAAAAAATACCCTAAAAGTATGAAAAGAAAATTTCCAGGTTTTTTCCATGTTTTCAGACTTTTTCCCGCAATGCATATACATTATCTTTATGAGTAAACTTTTAAAAAAAGAAAAGTTACAAGGCAAACCTGTGGCATACCCCTTATATATGGAACTTCCTACTTGCTTCACATTACTCTTCTAATTTTGTTTCCTTTGTATTTTCATAATTTTAAGTTGCTGCATTAAAGTACTCTTGTAAATGACTGTACATTACATCTTGCAAAAGGCTGATTATACAGAAATTAATAATGCATTAATAACATACTTACCTTTTCACATAGATCATTTAGTGCTCCGGCTAAGACACGGTATGCGCTGGTTTTTCCTCCAAATGGTTCTCCAACAATCATGAAACCATGACGCACGATCATCATTTCATATATTTGAAGAATCTTCTCAGAAAAGAATTTGGTCATTTGCAAATTCATGGAGTCACAGTTATCTTTGATAGCTATCAGCAAGTCATTGTAATCTGGTTTTGGTAATTTCACCCCAGGAAACAAATCTGAAGTAATTCCCTGATGATAGATGATTTGGGGATTTACATTATATATTTATACATTCACATTCTCACTCATTCTTTCTCCCCCCCATATATGTAAAATGATATACATTACATATATGTGTATACATGTGTATATATACATACACATAGGTAGATATACACACTTAAACATGATAAAACTTCTCTCATCCTCATATTTAATATTGATGGAAATGGAATAGAGCCATTAAATAACAATAGTTCAGTATTTTTAATAGCTCCATAGAGGTATGACTGACATACAATGAACTCTTTATATTTAAAGAGTATATACAACTTGTTAAGTAAAACTATCAACTCAAGATAATCAACACATCCATCACCCCCTCGTTTCCTTGTGACCTTTTGTAACCCTCCTTCGTCCTCTCCCTGCCACCTCCTACCTCCATCCCCAGATGACCACTGATTTGCCTTCTGTTACTATTTTATTTGCATTGTCTAGAATTTAATATAGATGCAATTATATGTTACATGTATTACTTTTTCTTTTTTTGATTTGGCTTATTTTGGCATAAAGGTTTGGAAACTCACTCATGTCACAGCATATGTCAATAGTTCACTGTATTGAAGTACTGCATTATATTGAGGTGTCAGTTTTTAAATCCATTTCCCTATTGATGGACATTTTCATTGTTTCCAGTTTTTGGCAGCTACAAATAAAGGTGCTATGAACAACTGTATACAAGTCTTTGTATGAACAAATACTTTCACTTCTCTTGGGTGAATACTGGATAATACAGTGAGTGTGTGCTTAACGTTTTAAGAAACTGTCTGTTTTCCAAAGTGGTTGTATGATTTTACATTCCGCCCGAGCAGTGTATAAGAGTTCCAATATTTGGTATTGGCAGTCTTTTTAATTTTAGCCATTCTAATAAGTGTGTAACAGTATCTTACTGTGGTTTCAATTTGCATTTCTCAATGATTAACATTTTTGCATGTACTTATTTGCTATATGTATATCTTCTTAGTGAAATATCCAAATTTTTTTGCCTATTTTTAATTGGTTTATTTTGTTCATTAGTTTTGACCATTGTTTAAATTTTCTACATACAAGTCTTTCACCATAAATCTAATTTGCAAATATTTTTTCCAGCCTGTAACTTGTCTTTCATTCTCTAATTTATTAGTGTCTTTCAAAGAGCAAACTTTTTAATTTCAATGAGTCTATTTTATCAATTTATTGTTTTATGCATTGTGCTTTTGGTGGAGTATTTAAGAAATTTTTGCCTAACCCAAAGTCACAAGGGATTTCTCAGGTGTTTTTCTAGAAATTGTGTAGTTTTACAATATTTTTAAATTAAAAAGACAGAGGATGAGCACTGTCTGATTTCAAGGCTTATTATAAAGACAGTGTCATCTCAGCATAAAAGTAGACAAATATACCAATGGAACAGAATAGAGACCAGAAACAGACCTTCATACACTTCAACAACTCATTCTCAATAGAGTCGCAAAGACAATCCATCAAGGAAAAAGATAAAAAGATAGTCTTGAACAAATTATGCTAGAGTACCTGGATCTGCCAAAATAATGAACTTCAACCCACACCTCACACCATATACAAAAACTAGTTCAATTATATTTTAATCACTGTAGTGGGTAGTATTTTAATAAGCTTAGAGTCCCTCAAAAATTTATGTCCATCTGGTTCCTCAGAATGTCATCTTATTTGGAAATAAGATCTTCGCAGATGTAATTAGATAGGATGAGATCATAATAGATCCTAACTCCAGTGATTGATGTCTTTATAACAGAAAGAGGAAGATATTCAGACACAAAGACACTGAGGGAAGAAGGCCATGTAGTGATGGAGGCAGAGGTTGGAGTGATGACAAGTCAAGGAACATCAAAGATTGCCAGGAGCCCCTAGAACTAAGAAGAAGCAAGGAAGGCTTTTTCCTTAGAGGCTTCAGAGGGAATCAACACCTTATTCCAGACTTCTAGCCTCTAGAATTGTGAGAAAATAAATTTCTGTTGTTTAAAGCCACCAAGTTTGGGGTACTTTGTTATGGCAGCTTTAGAAAGCCAACACAATTGCATAATGTATGAGTGGAAAGAATTATAATTCCATATTTTGTATATATGAATCTGTAAAGTTAATTTCAAGGTCTAAGAAACATTCCTTTATAAACTGCTAAGGCTGTTTTGTAAGTATTATAGCAACCTATGTGAGAAATACAACTATTCTTGCTACTCTGCAGGTAAAAGTGAAATTCAGAAGTGCTTAATGTGAAAACATACATTAGAACTGACCAACTACCAGTTTAATCAGTCTTCAATTTAATTCTTTGGATGCTGTTATGAAGACATGGATCCCACTTCACCAAAGCAATAAGTTTCCTTGGGACAAAGGAGAGAAAAAGGCAATGCATAGGGTGGTGAAGAGGACCTGGAACTCATACCCCCTCATGTACTAGCCATGAATGCAAGTTACTCACCATCTCTGTCCCTCAGTTACACCATCTGTAAAATAGGGATAATAATAGCACCTGTCCCTATTGGGCCCTTACGAGCATTAAATAGGTTACTATTCATAAAACTCTTAGAATAGGGTCCAGTCCATACTGAGTGTACAATGTTTGCTAAATAAACAAAAATATCATCTCAGATTGTTCAAATTATTTATGGTTAACCTTAAGAAGCAGACAACTCCAGAGCATATTTGGTAGTCAATGGTTCTCAACCAAGACCAGTTCCCTCACTTTCCCACCAGGTAGAGTGTTGGGAATATGTGGAATTCTCCTTCTGACTGACACACTGGGAGAGTCTACAGACATGGGCGGAGCAGGGATGCCACACATTCTGCAGTGTACAGGACAAGCTCTCACAACAGGGCACTGTCCTAACTGGAAATGCCAATTATGCTCCATTTGTGAAATATTGCTCAATAAATGGTCACTGAATGAATACACAACTGTCTGAGAATACATCTGAGTGAGGTATATTGCACTTTATAAAAATAAATATAGCCTTTACTCCTG